TAGATGTGGCTTCCATATGTTTATTAAAATAAAATAATTATATGTAATTATATAAACACCGTAGCACAGTTATTATCTACATAGTGTTATCAATAGTCACACAATACAGTTATATTAAATTTATTATTTACAATGAACAAAGAAAAAGTTTTGTTAGAAAATTTAATAGCATCAAAAAAAAATATTAAACGAAAAATCATGGAAATGAAACGTGGGGTTATAGATTCTGACAACTATTTCCGAGGGGCATTTAAACCAATAATCGAATTCGTGTGTGCACGAACAGAAAAAAATACACTATGCAACTCACAGCCTACTTAACAAAAAATACAGAGGCCTTATGTGAAAGTGATAACGATAATGGTGATGAATTAAATTTATCATTTGAGAATTTTTTGGATAATAAACGTCCTAAATCAATTCGATATGATAAATCCTATGGTATGCATTATGATAAAGCCAGTGATTCATATAAAATAGGAAAACACCATCTAACTTTTAGCCATGGTAACTTAGTACTGCTTAATACATTCTATTCATGGACTATGGGGCTAAAGTCTTTATTATGCGAGAAGGAACCAAAAAATATGACCGTGGAAGATATAGAAAATTATTACAACATTTTGAAAACTACTGGGGTTCATTTAAAAGAAGATGGAAAACCTAAAACGTCAAGGTTTCATAAGTAGGCAGTCGTTGTAAAACCCCTGTATGATCGAATGAAATATGAGGAAAAACAGTTAAACGAAGAAATAGCCAAAATTAATAACACTAATCTTCCACGAATTAACTTGTCTCCATTTAACACTCATTTTTCTAGGGTAAGCGCTAAACGTAGTAACGTCAATAACAATACAACCATAGAACCATTTGAATTTCAATCAGAAGCAGACAGTTCTATGACTTCAAATCCCGTAGTGGAAGAAATGTTTACTTTTACTTCAACACCTCAGACTAAACAAGGTTCTGGTTTATATAAAGATGTTATACCGCAAACACAATTAGTTTATTATGACGATCCGAATGAACTAGTAACTAGTAACTTAAGTCATAGTTTTGAATATATTGGTTTGTAAATTCATTCCTCTGACAATTTACGGGAAGACCCCTGACTTCGTTTTTAATCAATTCGTAAGCTGTGGTAAATGTAGCCTGGTAACTGGGTAATCGCTTCTGTTTTTCTGCAATATACAAATCGATCAAATTTTGTATTTGCTTGAGGCGAGCGAGTCAATGTTCATCAGACTAATGCAATTGTCATTTATATGCAAGGTAATTAAACTATGTTTAACATTTATTGAATATGATAAGTTATCAGTTATTTTCACACGTCTACATCTGGTATGTAAATTATTAATAATTGAATTATAATTAGGTTCAGACATAAATGTAAACCATTCTTCTAAACTTAATGTAATAATTTTCTTTGAAAGTTTACATTCCAATAGCAAAATAATTGAAATATGATTATTAATTAATAATCCAACCGTAATATTTTTCTTGCACGAATCAGCACGAATGTCAAAAGTAGACTTACAGACAATTATCGGTGAACTCATAGTGAAATTATTTTGATAAATTTTTTATTAGTTCAAAAATATTTTTACGCTTTAAACACAAATATATAATGTGAAATATAACTGATTGAAGTCATATGTTAAACTGAGTGTTTTTTTTACTTTGTAAACATTTTATTCTAAACTCTTGGATAAAAATGCAAAAAAAAAAAATGTGAAAAAATTATTTATTGCATCGTATATTATATAAGTATATAAACATGATTTAACAAATGGTATCGTACGAACCGATTTCGCAATTACAAATAATTTCGGTTTTACAATAATTACTTAATACTTTTTGAATATAATGATATTTCCTTTCATTAATAATAAAAATATACATTTTGGTGAAAAGCGAGTATGTTCTATGAAACAATCGTCGAAGTTTTCAAAATCATGTAGTATTATTCCACACCAGTGACATTGAACTGCATCATCCAGATTTAGATACTGGAAACCACACTGGGCCAATTTATATTTGTTCTGACTCGCATTTGATGGAAATGATTTGAACGTTCTTAACCTTGTTGAAAATTCAGTGAATTCCGGATAAGCTGGTGATGAATTGAATCGTATTTGATGTACCAATGACTGGATATCGTTTGGACATTTTTGGAAATTCATTTAAAAAAAAAAAATTATAAATTAAAAAACAGTTTAATGAAACGATGAGAAAGTTGATGACCACGAAACACAACTTCAACAAATAGCTTATCCTCAGTAACTGAATATAAAAAAATAATCGGCTTCAAAAATGTATTTTTTGATAAAAATATATACAGTGTTACCAACATGTGTAAATTTAAAATTCCATGGATGAGCTTGCTGCGAACGAACAAATCAATTTTTATCATAAAAAATTAATTATTCCACATGTTAAGGTATATCTTCCGTAACTCTCCTGTGTATATTCACATATACACCCGCGATGAGCTAACGACAGATAACAAACTACATCACGAAAATCCACTTGGTGGACATCAAGGTGTAACACGCACATATAATAAAATTGCACAACAGTACCAATGGCAGGGCATGAGAGCCCAAATCCGGAAATATATAAGGAAATGTCCTGCATGTCAAATCAACAAAAATCCAAACCGGACTATCAAAGAACCTATGGTGATAACAACCATTGCTTCGAAACCATTCGAAAATGTATTCATGGGCATAGTAGGGCCGCTCAACAAGTCTTACCACGGGAACTCGTATATTCTAACTTTAATCGATGATTTTTCGAAGTTCACTTGGGCATGTGCCATGAAGGATCATGAAGCAAACAAAGTCGTACAACATCATTTTGTCTCCCAATTTGTATGTCTGCATGGGCAACCTGAATCTCTAGTGACGGACTATGGAACTGAATTTCTTAGCAAGGTTTTCAAAAAAGTATGCAAACTCTTAAATATCTCTCAAACGTTAACTACTCCGTATCATCCGCAGAGTAATGGTAGTTTAGAGAGAAGTCATAGAACTCTTGGTGAATACTTGCGGAACTACTCCGGAAAAAATCCTCAAAACTGGGATGTACATGTTCCTTATGCAATATACTGTCATAATTCGTCAGTACACACTGCCACAGGGTTTCAACCACATGAAATCGTGTACGGGTATCCGTTATCAATACCAAATTCGTTAAGTCGTAAGCCAGAGCCTCAGTATAACTATCGAGATTACCAATACGAAATGAAACGTCTTATGAAAGAAACGCACCAGATGGTAACGGAGCAACAGATGAAATCAAAACAGAAATTGCAGGAGCGATATGACAGTACAGCTGTGCCTTTGCAAATCAATGAAGGTGATAAGGTCATAGTGCAAGAAAAAACAAGTAAAGGAAAATTATCACCTAAGTGGTTAGGGCCATTCACAGTGGTGGAAACTAAGGAAAACTCCCCGAATGTAACCATATTAAAATGAATTAAACATGTAAAATTACACAAAAATCCCTTGAAGAAATTTCTTGAATGAAATCTAAATTGTGGTTCAGAACCTCACTGGTATGTTATGGGTCTTCAAACTCTTAGAGCGGAAGTTTTCAAGTTACTTCATTTTAGAACTCATTAGGCTTATACTTTAAAGCAATGGGACTTCTTCACATATCTTTCACCAATTGGGATTTCATCACTTACGTGAATCTGACGACTTATTACATGAAGTACCAAATACTCCAGAAATTCCATGATCAAACGGGTGACGTTTGCATTCAATTGAAAAAAAGAGAGAACTCGATCTTAACTAGTACGGTGTATGGATTTCATACAATCCTCGTTTCCGTTCATGCAAGAAATTGAATCAAATTTCAATTCTGTCATACGAATCCTTGGGTCAGATCACAGATCTCTGAACATCATAATCTACAACCTCGAGGGTTGATAAATGCAGTAGGAAGGCTAGCAAACATTCTTTTTGGAGTTCGGGACGCAGAATTCTTTTACAAAAACATTGAAGACCTAGCTCGTTCCGAAGATAAACATGTTAATTTATCACAGGAACAAATACGCATAGTCTCTTCAATCATGAATAATGTCAACTCTACCATGCATGAACTACTAACAGACGATCAGAAATTGCAGCAGAATATAAACAGAATGGAAGAACAATCAATGCGTTCTGGGGCAACAATCAATGTATTCGAAATACAAAACACCTTCTTAGAGCACACTGTAATATTGACAATTTTTCTAAACCAATTCGGTTAATTTGGGAAACTCAAAACCTCCAATCCATTGTCAACTAACTCAGCATTAAATGGATTGATGCATACAAATGTCTACCCCCCATCCCAATTGATTCACGAACTTAAACATATACAACTGACATTACCCTCTACACTAGAGCTACCTATAACTGAATCTCATTTATCTATTCCAGAATTATTCGGAATATCCAAGTTAAGTGTAGTGTACATTCAACAGAATTTTTTATTTGTATTTGTGACCCGTATACCCTTATTGTCAAACTTTCGGTTTAACCTGTTTCATAATATTCCACTTCCGATACCTACAAATAAATGTAATATATTGATCATTGAACCACAAAATCAGTACTTGGCAATAAGCGATACTAACGAATATCATTTCAGTCTAACCGACGATCAATATGAAAAATGTGAAACCTTTGTAATAACGCAAAAATAAAATAAACGAAAATAATAAAAAGAATAAAATTAAATTAAAAGATTAAAATAAATTATAGACGATCACCGTAAATGTTAGTACGACGCCTGCCGACACTAATATTCAAGATGATCTAAATTTACGTTACTACCTTCCTCCTGATCGTCGGAGGGATCTCGAGATCGTGTATTCGAGAATTTGATCAAATACACTTCTATGATGTAAATATAAATGCATGCACATATAATTTAATATAAGGCAGGCAACAATACTATATTTTATATTTTAATATGTCTTACCTGACTCGCAGTTGTCACTAGGTTGGCAGTAGGAGTTTTAGGTGACACAAATTAATTATTTAAAATACTCGAATAAAAATAAAGAAACACACTGATTATTGCTCGTCAAAAGGAGTCCAGTTGTCGCTCGTAGAATTCGGTATAGAGAGGTT